TGCATGTTGATTACCTTTTTCTAATGTGTCATTCATGATTCATTCATCTTGTTCCATGTTTTTTTTTTAATTTAGCTGTAGACCATAAAAATATTTTGAAAATAAGTGCATATCATTTACCTCAAATTTTAATTTAATAATAATTTTATTTATTTAAATATATATATTTAAATATATATTCTCTTCCCTTAGATGCTGTGAAGAGGTGGAGCCCAAATGCTACAGACTCTGAAATTGATGCAGCAATGGCAGAACACCTGAAACACGCTCCAGGAAGAGCTGGTGGATACAAAAACTGAGCCAAAATGTGTTTAAACGGATAGTTTCCCCAAAAATGAAAATTGTCATCATTTACTCAACCTCATGTTTCAAACCTGTATACCTTTCTTCATTGAATTTTCATTTTTGGGTGAACTATCCCTTTATATAATAATTCAGTATTTTGTAATTGGTATTTTAGTTTGGTTAACAAATGTTACACATTGAAAAAATATTAAGATACATTTTGGCTGTTCAAGATCAATAAAATGTGCTAAATCAGAACATGATTCTTTTTTTCTTATGTCCACAAATAATGTGTTCTTGTTTGTGATGTACACGTGATTAAAACGTTTTATTGACGGTCAGGTCTGACTAGACCAATTTTGGACCTTTTTAGAACCTTTGTCAAGATGTGTAAACTTCAAGACTTGATTGCCTTTCACTATGTTACACAATATGTGTGTGATTATTTTAAATGCAGGCTTATATACACTTAAATTATGCAGCAACACATTTAAACACACAAATGACGACGCATTTGGACGTCCAGGGACGCGCTGAAGAGACGTGGAATTCACGGCCAGAAGAGACGTGGAATTCACGGCCAGATGACGTCAAAGACGTCGGTTCAACTTTCATTTTGGAACTATTTTTCAACCATGACGGGACGTGTCGGACGGACGTCTTTTCAACGGTCATTACACGTCCAAATGTTTGCTGGGTATATACCCTTACTATATATATATATATATATATATATATAAACACACATATTATGTTAAAACGCCGTATATGACGGCATTTGGCTGTAAATGCGATTCATTTATGGCGTAATTCTGAACCTCTTGGCTTGCCATACTAATCCTAACCAAACGTAATACACACGCACCCCACATCACTACTAAACCTACCAATGCGTTTCCTATGCATGTAAAAACTAATTTCCGCGTATAAATTGCACGATAAACACACTGCGTGCTATAGAGACGCATTTAGTCTGACCGGGTTGATATATCTATGGCAACCAAACTTCACTGGTGAGACAGAAACGTGCGATGAACGGACGGTCGGGATGTCGTTTTGGCAGGGGAAAACTGATCAGAAAATGTAACGAAAATGTAACCGAACGTTGTAGAAATGTAGTGGAGTAGAAAGTATAATAATTGCTGCAAAATGTAACGAAGTAAAAGTAAAAAGTATGCACTATTGATTCTACTTAAGTAAAGTACAGATACGTGAAAAATTTACTTAAGTAAAGTAACGAAGTATTTGTACTTCGTTACATTCCACCACTGGACGTATGCAATTCTTCTTCTTCTGTTTGTGTGTTCTACAGAGAGTTCACCGCCTCCTACAGGACTAGTGCAGTCAGCATGAAGTTTATCTCTTTTGTAAGGTCTTCACTTGGTGATTTCTCTTAAAAAATCAGAGGTGCCAGATTAAAATTGTATAGCCTATATTAATAAATATATAAATATTCTGTGTTTGAAAACATTTCCTGCCTCAGTGTTTGTCCTGTCAAGAATCCTACATATTCTACAGTGTGACACAGTCTCCAAAATGTGAATACAATTATATTTTGTTTCTTTTGTTTTTTATTATGATAAAGATAAATGACAAAACAGTGTGTTTTCAGATTAAACTGCCTGTGGATTTAAATTGTTAATCAATGAATGTGATGTTATGAGTAGTAGGATTCAAAGCAAAGAACATTTGAATGAATATTTACTGCAAAACACATATATTATAATATAGTAATTTACACAAGATGCACAGACCATACATGAGTGTGAAGACTCGAGCAGCTCATAGTAAACCTCTACTGACTTTTGTACAGAGATGCGGTTTGATGTGTTGATGAAAATAAACAGCTTCTGCATCCTCAGTGTATTCACACATGTGGTTTGTGTGTGTGTGTGTGTGTGATCGACTGATGGAAAACAAAGATAGTGTTAGTTAATAACCCTTAGTGACTAACCTAACACCATTCCACACTTTTAATAGCAAAATATTGATTATAGGCCTACAATAAAATATTTGAAATATTATGGCTGCTTGCAAAACAAACAAAAAACTTAAAAGATACTGTGTTCCAGTGTAATACTAATACAGAGGAATATGAATAACCAGTGCAAGAGTAGCAGTATGTGTGAAGAAGGAGGGTGTTGCTGAAATATTATTGGTGGAGGAATCAGACGCAGAAACACTCTCTCACAGTTTAACACTGTCCTGTTAGTTCACTATCTCTCTGTCTCTGAAGTGTTCACATATAGAGCTGTTATCTGAGAATGCTTCACATGTGTGTGTTGTTCTGTGTGTTTCGTCTGGCCGGTGAGTTTTTTCATATTCATTTTAACACTTCAGTTCTTGCTTTAGTTTAAATACATAGTATTTATAGAGATTTAATACAGAGCCATAACAATGTTTTTTTAATCAGCCAGAGGATTTCCCAGATTAAAGATGCTCAAACTAAATTATTATTGTGTTTTGTGAGATCTATTTTAAACCACAAGAGAAAAATATGACAGGTTCAAAAACAGCAGATCCTGTTTTATTTAAAAGAATTCATGCTTTGCCATAAGAAAACATTATGTGGATGTCGAAGATCTTAAAAATGAAGTGTAGCGCAGTGGCAAGGTACACAAAGTTCATCGGTGTCAGACTGAACCCAGAACATCTCAATCTCAAACCTTTTATCCTGTTACAGTTTACCACTCTTCATGTAAATGAAGTTGTTCTTGTTGTAACAGCTGTGTTCTGTATGTTAATGAAGTTTAGACACATCATTGTCTGAGAAGGTTCTCTGTCTCACACACATTCCCATTCTACAAGAATTGACTAGCATTTGTTCAGGATGTGATCAACCCATATGGTGAAGAAACATATAACTTCACTTCCTTCATCTCTATGATAATGAGGCCATTTTGGGGATGAGCTCATTCTAAAATATATTTTTTTAAATATACAGACTACAATTTCTTACACCACCCTAAACAATGACATGAGATGATTATTGATAATCTCGCTACTCTAACATTTATATAGCACATGTTTGTTGCATTTACTGGTTTCTTAATAAAAATACACTGGATACAAGAGAAAACTGTAAATGTTCACATAAGTACAAAGTAAATTCAAGGGCTTTAAGGACTGTTCATTTGGGTCTTTTAGTCCATAGTTTCTCTGTGAAACATTATTGGAGTGTTTTTAAACTGCTTTACCTGATTTGCACTATTTGGATTCATAACCCTTCATTCTCCAGAGCAGAGTCACTGAAGGAGCCAATCAGATTTAAAGGGATAGTTCACCCCAAAATGTAAATTCTGTCAGTAATTACTCACCCTCATGTTGTTCCAACCCCGTAAGACTTTCGTTCATCTTCGGAACACAAATTAAGATATTTTGATTAAATCTGAGAGCTGTCTCACTCCTCCATAGGCTTCTATGGGATTGAAACTTGCCAACCCCGAAAAGTTATTAAAGAATTGTTATTAAATCTTAAAAAAAAGTTATTAAATCGTTAAAATACTTCAAGTGACTACAGTGGCTCAATCTTAAGTTTATCAAGCGACGAGAATACTTTTTGAGCGCAAAAAAAACAAACAGGCCTTGAGATATTCACGTAGTTGCGTAATGCTTCTGGTTGAACGTCACACGCGTCACACACATGACCAGCGTCGGCCAATAGTGAGCCTACGTGCAGGGGCGCCGCTAAGGGGGGAAAAGTTAGGACGATTCTAAGGGCCCACACACTTTTAGGGGCCCCAGAAATCAATTTTATTAATTGAACGGGTGCAGCAGTACCTATTTTTTCATGGGGCCAAAAATCCCTGGCCGCACCCCTGCCTACGTGTGACGTACAACCATTACGCAATTACACTACGTGAATATCTCAAGGCCAACAGAGATGGAAATGAATACTTCAATAAAGTCGTTATTTTTGTTTGTTTTTTGCACTCAAAAAGTATTCTCGTCGCTTGATAAAATGAAGATTGAGCCACTGTAGTCACTCGGACTATTTTAACGATGTCTTTAATAACTTTTCGGGGCTGACAAGTTTCAAAAATCTGAAGAAGCCTATGGAGGAGTGATCCAGCTCTCAGATTTAATCAAAATATCTTAATTTGTGTTCCGAAGATGAACGAAAGTCTTACGGGGTTGAACAACATGAGGGTGAGTAATTACTGACAGAATTTACATTTTGGGGTGAACTTAAGGCCCGTTCACACCAAGCACGATAACGATAAAATTCTGAAAATCGTTCTCTATATTTAAGAATAACAGAGTTCACACCACAACTATAACGATAAAGATATGAGGAACGATATCGTTGGGATCACTTTCAGAACGATTTTTTTTCCAGCTGTCGAACGATAAAACACTGACAGCCAATCAGAATCGATTCTAATTTAAAGGTCTACTTTGAAACCACAGCGCGGGCGCGGGCGCGCGCGTGCCTAGAGTAAAAAGACCGTTATCAGTCGTTGGTGTGGACAGTGGACGCATATAGTTATCGTGCTTGGTGTGAACGGGCCTTAACCCTTTAAGATGAGACACAATCACCCCTGTGGCACCTCCCACAGATCACATTGTGATAATGTTAACTAAAATAACTAAAAATAACATCACAAAAATTATTAATGCTACTTCTGTGTCTGTGCTGTTCTTCATTACAGTTACAAATCTGATATATTTAAATTATTTCGGACACTTAATCTTTAATAATCTCTGTTCTTCAGGAGTGTTTGCTGGTCCAGATGCAGTGAAGTCAGTGTTGGTGATGGAGGGAGATTCAGTCTCTCTAAACTCTGATCTCACTGAAATGATGGATGAAGATCTGATTTACTGGAGGTTTGGAGATGAAAACACTTTAATAGTTGATATCAGTGTAATGGCCGGCAGAATCACTGTATATGATGATGTTCCTGATGGGAGATTCAGAGACAGACTGAAGCTGGATCATCAAACTGGATCTCTGACCATCACACACACCACAACTGAACACACTGGAGTTTATCAACTAGAGGTCAAAGATCGTGTGAGCAAGAGTTTCAGTCTCACTGTCTACGGTGAGTTACATTTTGTTTGTAATTAAAGCGGATACATATTAAATGAATGATTTTAAAAACTTGAAATTATAAACATCGAGATACACACATATTTTTGTCTTTCTTTTTCAACCAATAGAACACTTTCCTTTTGATGAATTATTATGAAGTGTTCATCTTTTTTAAATCACAGTAATCTACTGTTTGTGAATGACATCACACACTCAACACATTGAAATGGTCAAAACAGCTCTTATTTACTGATATGATCCTGATGTAAAGTTTCTAATATTTTTCAGCTCGTCTGCCTGTTCCTGTCATCAGTAGAGACTGTTCTTCATCATCATCATCATGTTCACTGGTGTGTTCATCAGTGTTGAATGTGAGTAATGTGACTCTCTCCTGGTACGCAGGAATGAGTGTATTGTCCAGCATCAGTGTGTGTGATCTCAGCATCAGTCTCTCTCTACCCCTGGAGGTGGAATATCAGGATAAAAACACCTACAGCTGTGTGCTGAACAATCCCATCAGCAACCAGACCACACATCTGGACATCAACACACTCTGTCACACATGTGCAGGTACAGCAGCACTGATCATATTTTAACAAGACTACTAACATAAGATGCCAGAAATGATGAATAAGCTTCTGTCATCATCATCATTACTTATATACTCATGTATTTTCTTGTGTGTAGCATAAAAAGGTGATATTTTTTAGTTCATGACAGATACTAGAGTCAGTTGCTATGATTACTATCGCTCATTAGTTTCTCCAGAAGGCCACGACCCCTGTTGTGATTCAGTTGAAGCTGTGCTGCGATTGGTCGTCACTGCGCTGATGGGCGTGGCTTCTGCGGCTGCTGTTGTTCTTCTGGTCAATGACGTCAGAGCTTCAAGAGGTAACAGGAGAACAGAACAGATATCATTGTCACATATTGCAGTTTTAATTCGTAACGATAAAAGATGAAAAAAATATGTGTGGTTTAATTGTTTAGTGATGGTGAAAAAAAGCTTTGTTTACCTATTCTCTCCTCTTAACTGTTGCGGAAAAGGTTGATTATACGAATTTGGTGTATTGGGGCCATCTGGTGGAAAAAACGATTATTTTTTTTTAATTATATTTCATTGTAATCTTTAAAGTCATCCACGTTACAATTCTTTGTTAATTACACTACTTTTCTTAATTTATTTTATGTTGCTATTTTTTTCTTTCATGTATGCAGCAAAACAAATGTAAAAATATTTCACCAATAAATTATTGTAGAATTTTACAAAAATAAATTAAAAATACCCAACTGGAATACATCTATGAATCATATATATATATACATATTAAAACTGAAGATGTGTCATAATAAGAATAAACTGAATTCCTGCAGATTGAATAACGGTTGAATAAAAACATATTTACAGCATTAAACAGTTTATTTAAAAAAAAAACATACAGTGTAAAGTTCATTATGAGGCATTATTACATGGCTTGGTTGAATTCTAATGTAGAATGCGGTCTGTTATGTAAGGTGTATAAAAGGCTCTCAGCGAGAGAAGACTTCTATTGTGGGACTTTTATTTTGATGGTTATTTTAGAGTGCGATACCCGTTGCTTCCAGTAGGAGGCATTATTGTTTTGTTTTTCTGCGTCAATATAGATAACGGAGAGAAAGGCAGTTGCTCACCTAGAAGTTTCTTACTGCCAGTGGCGGATTTAGCAAATTGGGGGCCCAAGGCGAAGGTAGTATGGGGCCCCCCATCCGATCTTTAAAAGAGAACGAAAATAGAAATAAATTTCATTTTTTGAAAAATAAACCATTACATGGCACTTTCTGGAGAGTTTTGTGCAAAGAAATATAGAAAAAAAGTAGGTCTAGCAAGTCTTATATTTCTGTAATTCACACAGATCAAACACAAATATGCTGACTGAATAGATTGCTAGTTGAGAAACACTGCTTTAATGTTTTTATGATGACTTTGTGAAAGGTTAACTAAACAGCATGAGCCTCTTCCAGCTGGCCAGTTATTTGGCAAATTTCATTCATACAGATCTGTATTATGCTATAGTTTTTGATAGTGTTATACATTTCTTACAGATAATCACGATGATCATTGCGTTTGTCTTACAGAATGTGGTAGCTTTATGCAATTACAGTTTGTCTAAGCTTTTTTTGTATTAATGCCGACAGTAAAATGTTGCCAGATATTGCTACGAAAAACAAGAAAAACAAAACACAATAATAATCCGAAATAAGTTCAAAGCTTGTGTTTTGGAAATAAGGTTAATATATCACTAACCCTAACATGCAACTTTCCACTTTAATAACTTCCTAAAGTGAGTCTTTCCCCAAAAAAATAAAAATAAAATTCTCACTGACCCCAAACTTTTGAACGGTAGTGTATATAATTTGCAAAAAGTAAAAAAACAACAAAAAAACTTAAGCATAATTTAATGGGGCATTTTGGGGGCCCCTAGGTAGCTCGGGATGGGCAATGGGCAGGTCTAATGGACCTGTACGGGAGAGTAAGACGACCCCGCCCTACCACAAGTCATAGGGGCTCACCTTAGGCAAGTAACAGTACCCCTTTTTGCCTCCCAACTATGGGTTAAACAGTAGATGTCAATTCGGCAGCAGGAGTTGGCAGCTGTTGTAGAGCATTGGAACGTTTTCCTGGTTGGTCTACCACAGCTTTCTCGGTGGGCGGATGATCCTTTGCGGGACAGCGGTCAGCGAGTATAAGGCCAAGTTAGCAGGCTACTGCGGGGCGATCCTGCGTTGCTCTTGACTGTCGTGCTTGCACTCCGTCAGATTCAGTGGCGTAGGACCCAGAGGGAGGCGTTTGTCCTCGGCAAACATCCGTCTTCTGTATTCTGTCCTGGCACTCGGTGCTATAGCATGCATGGAAGGTCATACACATATTCAGTGTTGGGCAAGTTACTTTTAAAAAGTAATTAGTTACAGTTACTAGTTACTACTTCCAAAAAGTAACTAAATTAGTAACTCAGTTACAAATTTTAAAAGTAACTATTGCGTTACTTTCAAGTAAAATTAAAATATAAATGCTCAAATGTGACCCCACCTCTACCCCTCTTTAACGGAACTTACAATACATGTGCATGTTCAATTATTTATGATAAATCTGAATATTATAATGAAATGGACACTTAATACAATACATTATTAACAGAAACATGAAACATTGTACACACATCTAAAAAAAAAAATGTTGCTGTGGGACAAAGTGAGACTAGCCTCCAATCAAATGCCATGTAGATATTATGTTTATATAGTGGATCAATGCAAATAACACAATACATGTTTTGGAACTTTTGATATTTATTGCCCCTCAACAGGCCACAACTGGGCAAAATTAAATTAAAGGAGAACTCCGGCGCAAAATGAACCTTTGGTCTAATTACACATTGTTACCTAGTCAACCGTTATCTGAGATTTGTTTTCATGATTATCGAATGTAAATAGTTTTATCTCTAAAAACAGTTTAGCCTATGTAACCCTAGTAATGATACCCACTATATTACAGCTAGGGTCTGGGTAAGTATTCGTTTCACTCTTATGATTACCTATAATAATCACATGTATTCCATTCCCTTCAGCAGCAATAAATACTATTGAATCAAAACTTGTCTTTCGAGTCTTTTTTATGTTTTTGAATGTGAAATGTAATAAAGTAAAATATGAAAATTCAAAACATTCTTTTTAAATAAAATGAAATGTTAAATTAAATAAGTTTAAAGGATTTACAATTTCAGAAAATAAACTAAACACTTATCTCCTAAGTGTTAAACACTCTCAAAAGTATTTTGTTTAACTCAATCACACAGTATTCAAATAGGTATACTCAATGAATTATTCAGTAATATAATTCAAAACTCACTTAAATGGGACCACATTCATGCTCTCATTCACACACACACTCTACGTTGCAGGCCTGATGTTTTCCCGAACACGATGTGTCCTGCGATATGACGATGTCGATGACAGCGCGCGTGAGCGGCTGTCACACTCTCCCGCGGTGCAACCCTATGGATGCAACAGAGGAACTCCGGGCTTTTCCGGTCACCCGGAGCGCTATCTGTTGTGACGGCCTATCCCTCGTTGCCAGAGGAACTCCGGGCTTTTCCGGTCACCCGGAGCGCTATCTGGTTCGCCTCCCGAATGTGATCGGCTCGGTGCTCGCGCGAATCACCTCACGAGCGCATGGAGTGAAATCCAGGACGAGTATCACAAATATTTGCTAAATAAAGTTCTTATTAGCAAAGCAACAAAACTAATGACTGATTAAGTCTGTATTTACGGGACTATCGTGTGAAAATACCAATACCTAGCCCTCACAACTCCCTTCTCCTCGTCCAACTCGTCTCCCTTCTCCTCGTCTTCTCCTCCTTCCCCCCTCCTCCAGCCACGCCCTTCCTCTCGTCAATAGCGTCATACGTGAGTACGTAAACAAGATATTAAACATTAAATAATATTATATATAATTATATAACTATATACATACAAATGAAAACACTGTAAAGGCACAGAATAAATAAAATATACAGATACAATGTAAATAAACATATTAATTAATTTAGTGTCTTTAGACTCACCGGACTACACCTATAAAGCTAGTATAACGGTAGTATATTGGGCATAGTGTAATGACAAATAAAAATCGCTTGTTAATACCACTAACAAGGCTGAAAATAGACCCACACTAACACGGTAGCATAATGAGGGTCCCTACCTTCAAACCGAAGCATTGAGAACTTTGTAAGTGTACAGACAGTTTAATAAGAAGATATTTTAAACATACAGTCAACTTCGCGTATACAGGCAGGAGCCATCTTTGAAATACAACCTTTACCAGTCGATCTACGAACGCCGATCCAAGTGCGCTGGTGAGAATGGCCCTGTCCCAATATCCGCACTTGCGCCCTTGTGCCCCTCAAATGCGCGTTCTCGCTAAGGGGTGCAAGGCCGTAGGGTGTCCCGATCCTCTAATGTGTTCTCCAGCGGTGATCGTAAGGGCACTTAATGCACCCTTTTCGCAAGTGTGCATCAGACCTCACTTTGCTGTGGGCTATTACCCAGAATCCTTGTAGTGTTGTGACGTTTCGAACAGCTAACCAATGGGGGAGAACGGTTGCTATGGTGCTGTTCGGGAGCGGAAACTCCGAAGATAAAGGAAGCCGGTATGGTGAAGTGTTTTTCAAGGCCGCGAAATTTAAAAATATTAGTGTTATCGTGTCACGAAATGTAGTTTTAAGAGTTTTTCAGTCGAGAATATAGTTGTTTAAAGCTCAAATCTGTGGTTTGTTTATAAAGATAGCGCCTATTTAAAATTTTGATCGGACTTTTTCGGAGTTCCAGGGATCAGCGGGCGCACAGCGCTCATATAACGTTACCCCGCCTGGAACAGCCTTACCTCGGCTAGTCATTCTGACGTTTCCCGCGGGCTCTGTGTCTAGTGGTTAAACATGAGCTATAAATCGGCTTGTGTATATCTAACGGGCGATCTTTGGTCTCAGTAATCTATGATTTGTTCCCTGGCAAATCGTTTTGGCTGAGGGCAAAGTGAAGTTTCATAACTTTATATATTTATGCTATTTAACTGTAATGTTGTAACGTTAGCCTGTTGACTTATGTTTGACTGAATCTTTTAACTTGCTTTATTTCTTGACTTATATAGCTTCTTATACTTTTTAGGCTACTTATAATTTAATAATGGCTATTATTGATCAATAAAACTGAAATTTAACAAAAAGAGACAGGGTTGTGTCATTTTATTTCATATAGCCTATGTAAGACTTTTAATATAGCCTTAGCCTATATATAATATTTCACCAACACGTCATGTATTTTTTCATGTATGGGATGGGAAGAATTTCATATATCAATTTCCATAATAACATAATTAAAATTGCATTTCGAATCGCTGTGAATACGGTAAGGCAGTATAAGCTCAGGTAAACCCCAATCACAATTTATCTTAGCCAAAAACTGTTTTAATATTAATAACATTAACAGAAAGGTTGGTAGCTAAGAGTAAAAAAAGATTATTTTTTTCATTCAAAGGATTGTGTCATGTTACAGCTATTATAAGCAGCACACACATTAGCCAAATGAATGGTGTTTGCTCTCCTGATCACAACAGAAGTGACGTGTGAAAAACTGTCCCAATTCTGCTCTTCACAGCTTTGGGCCCTTGCGCACTTACTCCGCTAAGTGCACTTTCAACAAGTGTCCACTTCCAGGAAGGCCTTAGGGCTCAAGTGAGAATTGGGACTGGGCCAATGATAAGGTGAGCGCGAACAGCAGGCTTGGATCGGCGTTCGTAGATCGACTGGTAAAGGCTGTAAAGATGGATTCTGCCTGTATACGCGAAGTT